CTTTTGGGGGAGAGCCAAACCCTTTTAAAAAAAAAAAAAAAAAAAAAAAAGTGTATCCTGTGTTTTCTTTTCTGAGTTTATGTTCTGACCGGGTCCTCCCTTTTTCTTTCCTACTTTAGGAAGATTGCAATGGCATATTCAGAATTAATGTAAGTGTGTCCAAAAACTTAAATTTAAAATTAAGACCTGGAGAGAAAAAACCTGGATTTTGGGTGCCCCGTGTCTGGTAAGCATAGAATGTTCTACGTGTCAATATAAGGCTTTAAATCTGAACACTGTAGCATGAACTGAAAGTAATTCTGCTGTAGATATGAAAATGATTTTAAGTAATACAGGGTAGAACACCGGATTACAAAAGGATATGAAAAGAAGGTAAACAAGTAATATACTGGGCTCCACATTGCTTCATGAAACTAATGAAATATTACTTCAGTATTTTTCTAATACTTCTAAGTACATATCTGAATTTAAATGACTTTAAAAATTAGTGAAACTTTAAACAAAATTTGATTTTAATTTTATTTTCTATCAAATTAAAACTAAATTCATTTTGAGTTCATACATTTAAGAGAGGATCTGATGTCATCATAAGAATTTTAGACAATTCTAAATCATAAAGCTATTTAAATTTAAAAACCCCTTTACATTGAAGGATTTCCATTATCAAAACCCTAGAGAGGAATAATCAGTAGTCCAGTTGATTACATCTCTTTCTTTAAAAATGATTTTTCTTGAAAATTAGTTTTCACAGCATATACACCAAGCTAGAAGTACTGTTACCTTCTTTCTCATCTGTTTTATTAACAACCATGAATGGCATCTCCCCATATGCTTTTAGGATGAAGTGAGTGTTGTAACAACCTCATTCATCTATTTTAATTATCTGATTTTTTTCTTTCTTTTTCTTTTCTTTGGAGAGGTTTTTGCTATAGGGCACATGCGCTCACCAGAAAGGCAGAGAGAGACAGAGAGACAGAGAGTGAGAAATCACCACCCAGGTGGGATGGCCACGCCACACGCCACAATCTCTTCTCTTCCCTTCTCCCTCTTGGGATCTTGGGCACACACGCACACACGCACACACGCCCTGCATGAGTTTGAGCTACTGGGTTTGGGACTTGAACCTAGGTTGACTATATATAGGAGTCCAGTGACACAGCCATTATGACAAATGCTGGTCCCTAATTATCTGATTTTTTTAATTTCTTTTTTAACCTCCTAGAATAAAGAGTAAACCACAGTAATTCTGCCTTTGTCTCCATTAATGTTCTCAACTAAAAGTTAAAATCCTTTCAAAGGAAAAGCATTTCACCCAGCTGTACTCTAGGACCCATTGTTACCTTGCTTTACTACTTCTCTAATATGAGACCGATACTTTTCTTTTTTTAGAAAGAGATTTATGCTATAGGGCACAAGCACTCGCCAGAGAGACAGAGACAGGGAGACAGAAAGTGAGAAACCCACCTCCCCCTAGGGGGAATGGCCATGCCACAATCCCTTCTCCTCCATTCTCCTCTCAGTATCTTAGATGCGCACTCACATGAGCCCAGTGTTAAGGTTTAAGGCACCTGGTTCAGAATTCGAACTGCGGTTGACTACTTGGGAATCCAGCGACATAGCCATTACGCTAACTGTGGGTTCCCTTTTTTTCCTCTTTAAAACGAGTGGCTTGGAACTGGATAATCTCTAAGGTTTCCTTTTTTATTATTTTAAAATGTTTATTTTTTCCCTGAGAGAGAGAGAGAGACAAGGATCCATAACATGTTCCACATTGTATGATCCACCTTGAGTCTTAGCCTGGTTCACACTTGGTTTGCTTAGAGAGGTCCCAGGACACAAATCCAGGACCTTTCTCATGTGGGTTTAGTTGCATTAACCACTGCACTACCACCTAGCTTCTGATCTCTAAGGTTTCTCATGATGGTCTTGCTGTCAGATACATTTTAAAATGACTTACTGTTTGCAGTGTACACCAAAGTCTTCTATTTTATTAAGTGGGATAGTCTGGTACTCAGAAGGTCCTTCATCAGGAGGTTTGTAGCCCTAAATAAAAAAATGAAGAAAACAGATTAATCAGATCAAGCAAAAAAACCATTTTTTCCTATGCAGCTTTCTATTTATAGGAATATTAGTTTTGGGTAGCCAAGTAAACATAAATATTCTACCTTTTCTTTTTGAGAGAGATTTTTGCTACGAGGTACATGTGCTAGCCAGAGAGACAGAGAAACAGAAAGCAAGAAATATCCCCTACAAAACCCCCTCACTGGTGCTGGCAGATGGCCACACCGCAGTCTCTTCTCCATTCTCCTCTCGGGATTTTGGACATGCACGCACACACACCTGGCATGAGTTTCAAGTCACTGGGTCTGGGACTTGAACCATGGTTGGCTGTGTGGGAGTCCAGTGACATAAGTGCTATGCCATCTCTTGGCCCCCAATGTTCTACTTTTGACAAGTATACTGCTCTACTCTCCGCCAACCCCATTTGGTGGCTATAGGCTGGGTTTGGTTTACAGGTTCATTTTTCTCATCCTTCAGTGAGATACAACTGTGCTACTGGGCCTTTGGAAAAATCATGATGCGCTCTGTATAGAAAAATACATCATGACTTTTCCGACAACCCAATAATATCTATTTCAGATTGTAGGCTCCCACAGGAAGGAAAAAGATCTATGTAGCTTGTTGTTTCACTATTACCTGTCCAGCAGTTAGTGTAATGGCTATGTCGCTGGACTCCCACGTAGTTGACCGCAGTTCGCGTCCCGGACTCAGTGGCTTAGAACTCATGCCGGGCGCGTGTGCGTGTGTGCCCAGGATCCCGAGAGGAGAATAGAGAAGAAAGGATTGCGGCGTGACCATCCCCCCTGGGGGGTGATTTCTCGCTTTCTGTCTCTATGTCTGTCTGTCTGGCAA